GTGGTTCTGGCAGGAGACAAACACACTTATAGGATCAAAAGTAATCATTTGTGTTGTTCAAAATCCTTACACACTTTGTCTATAAGGCACCTTTGTGTCTCTTGCCTTATGCCAGGAAAGGTCTGGCAAGGTTTCATCTCATCAAAAGTTCCTTCGCTGGGCCAAAAAGGAAGCCAGCAAGGAATTCTGTAACGGAGATGCTTGCTTTTTCAGCGGCCTTTTCTCCGCAGCATCTTTTATGATTAAGTGGCCGATATGGGCGAATCACATGGGGTTTCAGCCTTCCCATGATAGCGTTGACTAGGTAGTCTTCACTTACTTCCAGCGCCTAAGACTGGCTCTGCCTTGGGCTAAATATAGCTGATTTTTGGTGTGTTATGCTGTGCACTTAAATGTGCAAGGACAACAAGCCACTTTATTGTTTTGCAGTTTAAAGATGTAAATTAGTAAGTATACTACAGCATATTTGGGCTGTGAAAACCAGACAATCACTATACTGCAGCAAATGTGTTTGCAGCTATCCTGGATTATTGCAGCCTAGGTATGCTATAATTATTCCGGGAGCTCTAAACCTAAGGGTGGACAAAGTAAGGCTTTTAAACTTCATCAGCCCCCATTTGTGTATACATGCCCTTAAGCTGTCTCTGAACAATTGCCCAAAATTGGGAGTGTGCTTAAAGGCAAGAAACCCACAAAAGCTAAACATATATTATTCTAAATTGTTTCATCTAAGCATCCTACCTCAAAATTTGCCTAAAAATCAAGAAACATTCTAAAAAAAAAATCCTCTTGCTTTTGCCCATGACAAGGACCCCTCTGTTTTGCACTACCTTTTAAGAAATTTGTTTCCTTCACTGTTTTAAAATGCATTTTCTCCTGATAATGCAGAAGCAAGAGAGGTTATTTCGACTGACGTGACTTGCAACAGCTAATTTGACATCATCAGAACGGAATTTCAAACCGCTGTGCAGTAAACTTAAATGAGTTTGTCTTAAATCGTCTGGACTTTAAGACAACAGCTACTTAATCTCAGACATGTTGGCATTTTCATTATTTGTCTGAACAAGTACATTTTAGATGGGCCAATCCTGGGGGAACTGCAGTAGGCAGGCTCAAAAAGCCTTGGCAGTCACACTAGGATAACAATTGATCTTGTAGAGTACATTGTATAGATTGTAAAACTAATACAGTAAAAATAATAAAATGATTGCCCCCTTCTCCAATATTAAGATTCTCGTATCTTCTCATGTACCTTAAGAAATTTTCAACAATGAAGTTATCTAATTTTAGAATGGAAAGCCTCCTTAAAGGTCATCATCTATGTGTTTTGTTGCCCACCCAGAAGGAGAGGAGGGGGTCAGGGAAGCAGAGGAATAAATCCAGTCAGACTCCTACTCTGTGGGAGAAACTTGCAATACTAACATTCCCGACAGATGACTCAACAGCACACTTACAGTAATTATACCTAATTTCTCTGGCACGTGTAATAGTTATGCTTTTCTAGAACAATAATTCTACTTTTCCACAGATTTGAGGTAATTTAAAAATGAATAGCCTATAATGGATCTAGAGGCCTACAGGATAGCTGGTGAATTAAGTAGTCCGCAGTAACTATTTCATAAAGGGCCAATTTGGTCTAGTTATTAAGGCACCAGGCTAGAAACCAGGAGACTGTGAGTTCTAGTTTTGCCTTAGCCACGAAAGCTGGCTGGTTGACTTCGGGCCAGCCACTCATTCTCAGCCCAAACCACTTCACAGGGTTGTTGTTGTTGTGGGAAAAACAGGAGGAAGGAGGTGTGTTGTGTATGTTCACTACCTTGAGTTATTTGTAAAAATAATAAAGGAAGGATACAAATGTATAAATGCATAAATAAAAATAGCTAAAATTGCTAATTCTTCCAATGAGAATTGGGATGTGGGATTCAGGGAAAGAATGAATTAGAAGTTTATTGGTTCCCAGGCAAGCCTGGCCAGAAGTCCTCAGAAAAGCAAGGAGGTTAAGAAATATATTTTGTTTGACTGGCCCTAAAATGTAGACCCTCTGCCCAATCTCCCTGGGAACTACATCCAGTAATGTAAAATTGGCAGGAAAAATATGGAGTGGCTATGCCAGGTTATGTGTCTTTTTTCCCCTAGTATTGTTTTAACCCAGTTCTTATTTTTGTTTTTCTATTTATTCATTCATTTTTATTCATATTTTTAAACCACCCATCTCCCTCACTGAGGCACTCTTGTTCCCATTCTCTGTCCTTCCATGTTTGCCTAGGCTAGTTTCAGTATGCAGATCTTAGTCTTAAGCACCTTCATTCTAGTCTCCTGTTTCTTCAAGTCTTTCTTTTGCCATCCTTATTAAAACAAAACTTCTTTATTCTTTCTTACTTTAGTGCTGGCTTTTCTATCATAGTGTACTCCCCATACCACTTAAGCCTTAATAGCCCTGTTAAGGATGGAAATTGGAGCCATTCACTGAAAACTTCACTCCTGGTGAAAAGGACGGCAGATTCCCAGGCTAGAATTCAGCCAGCTGACAGATTTTGAATTTGACGCAACTTTCCACACACTTAACATCTCCTCCCTAGATAATATCTTTTTGTGTACAATAATGGAACCACTTTAAACAGTTGATTGCCCTCTGTCAACACATAGTGCAAATTTTTGTATATATCTACAGCAGTTAATTAAGAGCAGCTCTTTCTTCCACTTTACTCACAATTTAATAAATTGTTTGCTTTGTGCTTTTCAATCTTGGAGTATATTGGCATACGGATAGTCCTCAACTTAGCACTATAAATTAGCCCAGAATTACGGTCATAAATCATTGTGGTTTTAAGTTGAGGCATCATGTGACTGGACCAGATTTATTTATTTTTTTTACATTTTTCACAATGGTCATTAAGCAAACACGGCAATTGCTAAGCAAACCAATTTTCCTCAATGGGCAATTTTTACTAAAAACTAGCAAAAATGTTACAAATCCTGACAAATTGATAAACTGAATGGCTAAAACTCACAAACTGACTGTAGGATGCTGCAAACAGCCATAAAGGTGAGCTGGTTGCCAAGTGCCCCAAATGTAATCACATGACCACAGGGGTGTATGTTTCTTCCTTTCCTCCATCTCCCTGGTGATTGCTGAGATCAGAATGAGAGGAATGGTTTAACGTTTCTCCTTTTCCTTCAATCTCCATGTGTGAATGCTCTTTTTTAGTTGGAGTTAACAAATTGGCTACAGTTTCATAACTATCTATTTCCAAGAGCCAGTGGAGATACACATCCTCCATCCTGACCTACATGCAAGGTTCGTTCTTATTTTAAGGATAGATTCAGTTGATGATTAATTCCAAAAGATTCACTGGGTACAAAAAGAATTGTAGGGAGTTCCAAAGATAGTAGCACACATCATAAGTTAGTATCTAAAATTGCTGGGAAACTCCCGGCCAGGCAGCAAAGAGGAGTCAAGCAGGGAATTAGTCTTGAGTTCTTAGGCAGCTACAAGAAGCATAAGTCTGACCTTCTCCCCCCCCCCAACACACACCACAAGTTCTATGAAACCTTTTCTAGTTGTTCCCAAGGGAAGGCAAGCAATCTGGGGAGATTATTGTAATATAGGTAGAACATAATAAAGTTGCTGAGTTGGATCTTTCACAAATGGATCCGTTTGCTCTCGCCTGACAGAAACCCTAGCATATTTCCATACTGAACACCAAATACACAAAATGTGCATTTTATATTTGTTAAATGTCAGCTTCCTGACAGGACCCTCAGACTTGGCTCTTGGGCATGCCATAAATTAATGTAACTGTCCTCAGATGTAGGCTTGCCCACTTAGTAGATTCTTCAGCCATTCAGTTTATCAAGAATCCTACATAGATTTGATAAATGGGCAAATCCTCAAATCTCTGGGAAATATACAGTTGACTTAGTAGCAGTCAGATAACTATAACATTGGGCAAAAAAGCAGGCCCTTGGTACCGAATGGCTCTGGCAATGGGTATTAATACAACTGGTGCCAAGGTCAGCTGGACTCTCCCTGAGAGGGGAAACATTTGTTGATGTGCTGGTTGATTCTCCCTTACACCTGGCCTAGTTCCTGTAGCCATCAGGTTCTGATACTGGATATAGGCATTGGCTAACTGATTAATGATCAGCAGAGTTTATGAAGGTGGGGTCAGTAGCTATTATTTTAAACTTTGAATTGCATGCAGTGGCTTTCCTCCCATTGAGGTGGGAAAAGACGTGAGGGCATTCCAATTGTCAGGCTCCCTGAATTGAACTCAGCAAAAGCTTCTCAGTCTGACGAGAAACAAGGGTTGGAAACTGATCAAAGAGAGAAGCAACCTGGAACTAAGGAGAAACTTCCTGACAGTGAGGACAATCAACCAGTAGAACAGCTTACTCCAGAAATTGTGGGTGCTCCATCACTGGAGATTTTTAACAAGAGACTAGACATTCACCTGTCTGAGACGGTATAGGTTCTCCTGCTTGAGCAGGGGGCTGGACTAGAAAACCTCCAAGGTCCCTTCCAGCTTCTATTCTATTCTATTCTATTCTATTCTATTCTAGTCTAGTCTAGTCTAGTCTAGTCTAGTCTAGTCTAGTCTAGTCTATTTTTATTGCACATTAAGGAACTTACTTTGCTTGATGATTGTTGTATGTCAGTTTGAAGTCAAGACTTTCTTATGCCTGTAGTGGTGAAGTCTAGTGTTTCTTTTCCTTGCTTTCCCCAGTTTAAAGGATATTTCACAATGGACTTTTCAGTCTTGGAACTAGAAGAGTGTTGGTGGTTGACATAATTAACATTTCTTCTATGAGAGATTGCAGCTCCCAATATAACTCTTGGGGAATGAAGGAGGTACCTTTCCATTTATTGACAATGTAACTAGCTGTCTGGGTAGAACAATTTTACCCGTGGTATATCCATACCAGAACTCGCCCCCTTCTGAGTATCTTTCTTATTAACTGCACAAAAATGAAGAGCTGTTTTGTTATTTAATTTGAAGGGGGGAAGTGATCAATGGAGGATTTGGTCTTGTCCTGGATGGCTCAACAAGTGCCGAAGAGCGTGCAAAGATGATGTTGAACTGGGATGTTTCTAATGGGGTAAGTAAAAATAGATCTTTCAATTTGAAATTATTGTACTTTTTAAAAGAAGTGTAAACAAACAGATTTTGTTAAGTGACTTAGTAAATTTATTATATATAGCAAGGATATTTGGGTATATTTGCTATGTATATTCTAATGATATACAGTAGATTGCATATTTGATGGGATCTTTAACACTTTTTTACTATCTGTATTGGGTAATTACAGAATGAGAAACAAACCTTTCAGGGCAAAATCAGTATTACTTTCCTTTTTATGTTAAAGGAAGATGACATAGAATTTAAGATGATTCCAGTCACCCCTTCTCTGAGGAAAATAGATATACAAATATACCCAAATCTTCTGCAATATTCAACTTCCCCACCTTGTCATCTTATATTAACTTTCAAGATAATATATATATATATATATATATATATATATATATATATATAATTGCAAATGCTTTCATATTTATATTATACAAGCTCATTGCATCATAAAGTCTGGCTTATTCCATTTACTGAAAGTTTATAACTTCCAAATTGCTTTTTTTGAACTAGCAATGCTTTTCTGAACTAGCAATGTCATTCAAGGGGCACAAATAACACTATCTCACAATTCATGCATTCACACACTGTGCTATCTGAACAGCTTGTGTTGTCATCATATTTCAAGAACAGGTAAAAGAGCAAAGCATTTTATTGCTGTGATTTTTGGCAGTAGTTACATTAATCACCAAAATGGCACCAGCTTAGTTTCATCTTATCAATTATGAGTTCTCTGGATTCAATTTGATCAAGCTGGCTCTGCTCCCATATTCCATTATAGTGGTCTTGATTTGAGTTCCAAATAGCCTCCAGAAACCAAGAGTGGTGTGTTAACTAAGCAGTTAATTGATAGCAGGAACAATAGCAGCTCACTATTTTAAAGAAGAATTTCCATTTGAATTAATCAAAACAGCTGACTTTGCACAGTTAATGTAATGGCTAACAGTTAATAAGAGCATTTGAGAAGGAACAGATTTGTCAACTTGCCATTAGGGCCTCATTGGTCCCAACTTAAGGCAAACTTGAATTATTTTTGGTGCCTGCCATTCATCTGTTTCTTCACTGTCAACTGGCTAGTTTTTATTATCATTGTATTTATATCCCTTCTTTATTTTGTACAACTCGTGAGGCATCCAATGTTCCTGCCAGTGAGATGGGTTCAACTGAGAGCTTAGTCATCCAACAAATTTTTAGGCCTAAGGGAAGACTCATTTCTAATCCAGCACCAATTTGGTTCTCTTGGTAGTTATAAACTCATCTGGTTAGACCTACAGTAGTGGCCAAAATTGTGGAAACCTTTTGGGAAAAGTGTACAGTAGAAATGCCACCTTTGGCTAAGTTTCCACCAATTTTTCTTCTATAACTGTAGCCATGTTCACTTAATAATACTATTTTACATCGCTTTCTGGGCAGCCAGTCAACTCTTTGCACCATGACTTTAATTTTATTACGTTTTACAAGCTCACTAAATGAAAGAACACAAAAAAACCCAAACAACTTGTGATCACATGACACACTGACAAATGTCCCCCTCTCAGCTTCAATACATGACATCAATAACTGAATCCTACTGTGATCTGATTGGCTCATTGCCAAAACAAGATGACACCTGATTGGCTCTCTAAATACTCATGCTCAGTGGCTACAATCAGATGAAGGAAAGCTACCTGATATCAACCTAAGCAAGTTGTGTAGATGAGGAAATATAAGTAGCTGGCTATAGCTACAGATGCTAAGTAGGATGGGCAATAAAGATCAGGCTGAAGAAAACTACTCTGAACACATTTGCCTTTGGCCCACTCAAACCTAGCAGTGCCTCTCAACTAGATTCAGAGTTTGATTACTTCTAGAGTAAGTGTAGACAGGAGGTCTCCAACCTTGGCAACTTTAAGACTTGTGGACTTCAACTCCCAAAATTTCCCTGCCAGCAATGCTGGCTGAGGAATTCTAGGAGTTGAAGTACACAAGTCTTAAAGTTGCCACAGTTGGAGACCCCTGGTGTAGATAGAGCGAGCTTTGGGGTATTAATACCAACCTCCATTACTTAACTTCCAAACAATGTAGGTGCTTAAAGGAGTAATGTTTATTTTACTCCAGAAAATTGAACTATTTGTTAAATTTAAAACTAGAGAAGGTTCGGTTATAACTTACTGATGTAGCTAATATACTGCAAGTAATAACCAGAGTTCTCTCAAACTTCATCTTTTTACATCCTTGTTCTGGCATACATGTAGTAATCAGAAGAAATATCATTCTATTCTCCAGAATCATTAATCTTGAATTAAACATATGTTAACTTAGCTTGGCGTTTCTCAATTGTAACAACTTTTAAGATGGCTGAGGAATCGTGGGAGTTGAAGTCCACATATCTTACAATTGTCAAGGTGGAGAAACAGTGACATAGTTCTTTCCAATTTGGCAGCTTCAATATTCCTAAAATTTCAAAAGCCACACTAGATGGGAACTATGTCAATTGGCACATATCAGGAAAAGGCACCAAGGTCAGGGAAAGTTAATTTAGCTGAATAATTCAATATGCGTGTTTTTCAAATATTGTCTTCAAGCAATATTTGCTTGAAGAAAAGTTTGAAAGTATTCAGACAATACTTTCCCAGCCATAGGTTTCTAAGTTCAGCATTAAGTGATTGTATTTTCCATGAAATGCATTCATTACAATGCACAAGAAATGACACAAATTAAAATAATTCAGTGTATTACAGAATATGTTTGGTGTGCTAATGTTCTAATCCAAAGGAGGTAATCTCACAAAACACCTTCCTTATACTATGTCAATCTCTAGAACATGCTATGCTGGAACATTTAAATTAGAACTAAAAATATTATTATCTTTTATCATTCAGGGTATTTATTAAACAGTAACACCTCAGATGCTACTGCAAGAATTTCAAGGAATCACTCAATTTAGAAAAAAAAGTTAAATGTATTTTCTTAAAATAATATATATTTAAATCATTGGGTAACTTATACTTTATATATTGTATCCATTCATTTTTATTCCATAAATGCAGGTTGCTAGACGTTGTTGGTCTGGTAACAACAACGCTTATGAAACCATCTGTCAAGCCATGGACAAGGAGAAGAATCTGAAAGTGACACTTCCACATAAGGTGCTAGATGACAGCATCTTGGAACAAGCTCTGAGTTGTTAATTGTACGATCATTTATTCTCCTTTTTTGAACCAATTGTTACTTTCCTCTTGTTCTACTCCAAAGCTTCCTTTTATGATACAATAAAATAATGGTTGCATTTTTGTTCTTTCAGGAAAGTAATACTAAAATAAATCCACATTAGCAACATGAGTTTCTGCACATGTGGAACATTAATGCAAGCTTTTCAGACACGAATCACCAAGTGATTTCCAATCTAGGAACTGATTAATCTTGGTATGCTCTCTAAAATTAGTGCACAAACCCATTGTTATTTGATTAGAAATCCATGCAGAAAAAGCAACAGGTGAGCAACACTTTTTCTCCTGCTTGTTGCAACTTGGTTTCTTTTTAAGATTTGTGGTCAAAACTCAGCTTTATTGTATTTAGCTGACAACTCCTCTCTTGCATTCAACTTCACAGCAAAATCTGACTCCCGCTGAGCAACGTTCAAAATGCATTTTGAAAAGCCTTGATTTCAATACAGTGTTTTTGGGCTGATTTATATGGAGATTTCTTCTTCTTGTGCCATATCTGTTATTGGACGGTGGTGATCATGTTGGCGATCCTGTTTTTATCAGCAGCCGCATGAAAAAGTGCTGCTGAGTTTTATCCAAACCAATCCCTTAGATTTTGAAGCCACAATGTTGTTCTTCTGCCTGGACCTCATTTGGAGACTAAGGATTTATAATACATTTGTGTTAGCTCCAGTGGTGGGATTCAGATATGTGAACAACCGGTTCTCTGTGTGGTTGCCACTTCCAGAAGTCCATTCTGGGCCAGGGCAACAAAAAATTAGCTACCGGTTCTACTTAACCGGTGTGAACTGGCTGAATCGCACTAGTTAGCTCCCTAACAATTCAGTCTGTTGATTTCTTGTTATTATCTGGGTGAGGAACAGCTATCACATGGTCCGACCTTTATTCAGATTTTAGTTCTTTTCCCATTTTACAGTGTGGAAACTGTCCCAACCAAATTGTATGTTCACCTCTAAGAGTTATAGTTGGCTCTTAGCCTTGTCACAAGTCATATAAAACGATCTTAAAAAAAGATCTCATTTTTCCTTACGAGCCGGGCCAAGTATTAAGATCATTGGGAGAGGATTTTTATTATGATCTGATCACCTTCAAAGGTATGGTATATCTGAAAGAAAAACATGAGAAGGAGCCTTTTCAATGGCTGTTTACAGGCTTCAGAATTATCTGCTAAGGAAGATCAGGATTGATTTCTATTCTTTATCCTTCTTCAGTAGGCTTCCCCCCCCCCCATAAAAGCATTTTCCAGATAAGCTTCATTAGCTTATTTTGCAAACAGATACAAGGTAATATAGCACCACCTACTGTTTGAATCATATAAGAAAAATTAGAGTACTACCGTATATTATAATTAATAATGTGAGAGAGGCAGTTTGGTATACAGGTAGTTCTTTTGTTACAACTGTAATGGAGCCTACTCATTATGGTTGAAAGTTTGAACATCAAATGAACTACCTCACTTAACTCCCCATGCCTGCTCTCCCCAGGGATGCTAGATAGCACATAGTGGGAAGGGAAAATAGCTGTCTTTGCCATTTAGGCTTGGATCCCAAAGATTTGAGCCTCTTTTGAGGTCACAGAGCCAATTCCCCTCCCTGTTCTGCACCAGAATAAGGGGGAAAATAGGTGGCAGGGAGCTGCAGGGTCTCTATGAGGGTGAATGACCCCAAGTGTGCTGTAACGGTCTTAACTTTGAAACCAAGTGGTAAATACTTTTGGGTAGGTTTGTTGTAACTTCAAATGGTCACTCAAGTGACAATCATAAGTCGAGGACTATCATAATCGTTAAGTCATCAGGTTAAAAACTGCAATTTGTAATCCTGTCTTAGGCACCAAGTCAGTTGGGTGACCTTGGGCAGTCACTCTCTCTTAGGAAAGAGGCAAATGGCAAACAATTTGTGAAAAAACCTCGCCAAGAAAATGGCAAGGGATTAGTCTGGGAAGCCAGGAGTCAAAAACTGATTCAAAGGGACAAAACAAATGAATTAAGTGAACTATTCACTTATAAAAAGATATAAAGATCAAATTGAGAAAGTTATGTACTTAATGGTGTTAAAAATTAAGATTTTAATTTCAAATATTTTCATTTCAAGATACAAAATAATGCTGGAGTTTATGTAGTCAAACCAACATGAGACACTTACTCAAGATTTATACAAAAGCAAAAATCCATGAATGGAAAATGGGGGGAAAGCCCTTCCAAAGGACCAAATGAAGACTGATCAGGCTTAGTGAAAATCTGACCCAAAGACTTGTTTTACTTTGTTAAAACCAAACCAACCACCTTATGGCTTATCATATTACATACAGTAAAATACATGCTACAGTATTTAGTTGCCAATCACATTGTATATGTTAGAATATCTTTTTAACTTCACTAAAATAATGAGATGAAATCCATAATTAAACAATTATGGTTTACTAATTCTTATATTTGTAAAACTAAATCTCAGCTATAGTATTGCCTGGCTAATTCTAGGCCAACTTTTCTCTTTCTAAATGGGTGGGATTTCAAGTCAGCATGGTCCAAGTTGAGAATTAAAATCCAAGAGATTTGAAGGGCACCAAATGTTGGAATGCTGCTATAGGGAGTCTAAGAAAGCAGTAAGATGAAAACTGTAACAAACAATATTGGTGCATTAAGGAAAGAAACATCATTTACCAAATTAATAAGGTTTAGATCAGGGGTGTCCAAACTTTTTTCAAAGAGGGCCAGATTGGATGAAGTGAACGTGCTGGAGGGCCGAACATTTTTCC